GGAGATAAGGTTCCCCATGTGGGTGGCAAGGGCCCAGGTAGTTGAACCATCACCTGCTGCTTCCTACGGTGCAATCAGCAGGATGCTGTATTCAAAGTGGAAACAGGAGTTGATCCTAGGCACTGTGATATACAATGCAGGCATCCCCAAGTGGTGGCTGAACTCACTAAACCATAACTCCCATCCTGAGTTTGTATCTTTAATCTAATTCTGGCCTATTTATTCGCCTAAATTTTTCCTTTGTCTTAATTTTTTAGAGTACTCATGTGTTTATAATTTCACTTCTTAAACTTCTAGTAAAAACATACTCTGTATATGATTTTAGCAATCACCATAGAAAGGAATAAATACTGAACTCATAAAAGTCTAAATTTAAGCAGTGTTATGCCCACATTCTACATAATGTGTGGGCTTTAGATCACATTGACTCCAGTTACTTTCTAACTCATATGTTTGTTGCTTTTGTCTTGGAAACTCATGGACTTATTAAAATGGTTATATAAGCAGTATTTCCTGAATGGTTGCATTCTCCCAAACAGGTATGTTGAAACCTAATTGCCACTGCCAATAGCACTAAGAGGTACCTCTCTTGAAAGGTAAATAGGTCATTAAGGCTGTATCATCATAACTGGGGTTAATGCCCTTATTAAAAAAAGGACCCCAGAAAATCAGCTAGCCCTTCCTGCAATGTAAGGATACAGCGAGAAGGCACTGTCTGAGAGACAGGGAACAAGACCTCATCAGACATCCAATGGCTGGCTCCTCCTTCTTGGACTCTCTGGACTCGAATTTACGTTTCTGTTGTTTAAAAGCCAGTATGTTTATGATAATTTGTTGCAGCCACACAAATAAACTAAGACAGTGTTTATTAAAATATATTCAGGCCAGATATCTGGTGTAGTAGTTAAGATGCCTACATGCATACCACAATGTCTATCTAGGTTCTAGTCCTGGCTCAGCTACCAACTCTAGGTGAGTGCTGATGAGCTCGCTGTGAGGCGGCAGCAATAGCTCAGGTGGCTGCGTCCCTGTACCCACAAGGGACACCTGGATTGTTTCTAGCTCTCAGCTGTGGCCTGACCCAGTGCTCCCACTACTGGATATTGCAAGCATTTGGGGAGTGAACTAGCAGGTGGAATCTCTCTCTCTCTCTCTCTCTCCCCCCTCACCTCCTCCCCCTTCTCAAATTAATGGATGAGTAATTTATTTAAAAAGATAGTCACATATTTGCACTTTCTTTGTTTTCATTCCAGCTCACATCTCACCTTCCATCTGGCATCGGTTTCCTTCTACCAGATATAATATTTTTTTCAGAATTTTCTTCACCGAGGGTGACCTGATGTTATGTCTGTGTTTTAAATCACTTGAAAATGTTTTAGTTTTGACCACATTCCTGAGAGATGTGTTTGAGGATGGCATTTCTCAACAACCACCTCGTCTTCTCACACAGATGAGACGCCATTCCGCTTTTTTTGGTTTCCATTGTTCAGAAGTCCAGCTGCTACTCCGGCGTTTCTTTAGCTTCCCTTCCACAGCCTCTCCTTTAACTTTTCATCTCTAGTGATGTTGAGCATTTTTCTACAATGAGTTTAATTTGATTATCTTTAATTCATTCAGTTTCTAATTCATTGTCAGTTCTGGAAAGTTTTAAGTTATTGTATTTTCAGATATAGGCTATTGCCCTTCAGACACCCTATCTGCACCCTCCTTCTGGAAGTCCGATTGGAAATTTTTAAGATCACTTCACTGAAACTTCTAGTCTCATAATTGCTCTACCATATTTTATGTGCCCTTGTTTTGCTACATCGTAATCTGGATAATTTCTCCTGAACCTTTCTTATAATTTACTACCTATATTTTCAACTCTTTCTGATCTGTGCTTAAAAGTGACCACTGAATTTTTAACTTTAATAGTTCTCTATTTCTGTAATTCCTATTTTTTCAAAAAATTCTGTCTATTTTATGGATTATCATAACATATTTTCAAGCATTATTATAAACTTTTTGTATAATTTATGAAAACAATATAGAGATAATAATTCATATATAATTTTTATTTCTTAGATCATTTTAAAATTATTTCTATTGCCTTTACTTGGTTATTCACCATTTTTAACCTATAATCATTCTGTCCTTGTATGTTTGACTATGAACTCTTCTGATTACTGAGAAAATTATTTGTGGACCTTTTTCAACCACACATTTATCCAGAGAATATTGAAGTATTTTGCAATTTTAATCTGTTTTGTGTTTATTTTCATTTTATTCTTTTAAATATTTTTATATATTTGAAGGGTAGAGTGACACAGAGAGAGAAAGAGACAGAGATCAATCCTTCATCCACTGGCTCACTCCCCAAATGCACACAACCTCCAGGATCAGGTCAGGCTGAAACCAGGAGCCAGGACTTTTACCAGGTCTCCCATGTGAGTGGCAGGGTCCCAGGCATTTTAGCCATCATCCGATGCCTCTCAAGAATCGCCAGCACGAAGCTGGATCTGAAGCAGAGTAGACAGGACACAAACCAGCACTCTGATACGGGCATGCCAAGTGGTGAATTAACCAGCCGTGCCACAACACCTACCCCTGAAGATTTTTAAACAATTCTTAATATATTCTGGCATACTAAAATATATTCCAAGCTAAATGGCAATCATTTTCTAAATGGAAATAATAATACCTACATCTCGCAGACATGAGACTAAAAGAGTTCAATGTGACAACCTTGACAAAATCCCGGAGTCAGGCTCTTTCTGGGTACCCAAAACCATTGTCCATAGTGATTCTCCAACTTCAGTTGCTGGTTGTTCATGTTAATTGGAATAGAGTAAGTCCAAAATGATGAGTTTCTGGTATCGGAGTCACCTGCTCTCCTGCCCCATGTCTCGTTCTGTTCCTGTCTCCCACAGCTCCCCCCCCCCCCATGATTATTTAGTTAGCACACTTTTTAAAATAAATGTGAATTTATGAATTAACATTTCTTTCTATGGATCAGTTTTCTAGCTTTAGCTTGAAATTAAATAGTACTATTTTATTTGTTTGAGATTCCTTTTTAAATTTATTTATTTATTATTTAATTTCAAAGGCTGAGAGACAGAGTTCTGCCCAAATGCCCCCAAACAGCCAACTGTGGGCCAGGCTGGTGTCAGGAGCCAGGGACTCAGGCTGGGTCTCCTGCAGGAACCCAAGCACTGCAAGAACCCAAGCACTGCACATTAGCAGGAAGCTAGTATGGAGAGTGGAGACGAGCTGAACCCAGGCACTCCCATATGGTTTGTAAGCATACCAACTGGCAACTTAGCCATTGTGCTAAAAGCCTACCCTGGAATTTTTTTTTTTTTTGAGACAACACTTTTAATTTACTTTATACTCAAAGGTTTAATGCTCCATTAAATAAAGAGCTCAACAAATCTTAATACTTGAAATATCAATTGCATCCCAGACTTCAGAGAAGGATAGAAGGCGCCAGACAAGCTGAGCTCTCGGTTGGCGCCCCCCAACTAACCTGCTGGCAGATTCTGTTCAAGTCATCCCATCTCGTCATCTGTACTGTGGGAAAATAATAACACTCGTCCTGGTGGCCTCGTAGGCTGCTGTGAGAATCAGATTCAGCATGGCTGAGAACGTGCTGTAAGTGTACACAGACAGGGTGTGCACGTGTGAGGTGCAGCTCACGGCAGCCAGGCTCTAGACTCCTGGGAACACGTTTCTGGGCTGTGTTCCCAGCTGCTTTTCCTTGCTTTGGTGATTGTGAGCAGAGCTCTTGAGGTCTGAGAAGCTCTGCTAGCCCATGAGTGCAAAAAGATGAGAGAGAGAAATGATAATATTTCTTTCTCCATAGGGAACTTCCAGCATCTCTGAGGAAACAGAATTTCTTTTGATCACAGGAGAGCAGAAAAGGATGTTAACCATGGAGTGCCCACTACTGAGGTTTCTGAATACCAGCCTGGGGAGGGGGCTGGGGGGATTTGATCACAGAGAACAGGCTGGTGTGGGTGTGGGTGTGAGTCACCCGCTACTCTAACCCTGGGTCCAGTTCCAGATCTGCTGTCTCTGTTGGGTTCTACCAAGACTCCCACTGCAAAGACAGCAGACAAGCTGGAGGCCCCAAAACACAAAAGATATTGGGGCTGCTTGCAAAGTCCAACACCGATAGGACCAGGCAGGGAAATGTGTGTGAGTGGCGAACGGGAGAGTACTCATTGAATGAAAGGAGACTCGCCACAGTCACTTGCAACCCCTGTCACCACCCTGGATAGCAGGAAAGTGTGCATGCGTGCCTGTGCATGTGTGCATGCATGTGAGTTGGGAGTGCTTGCACAATGAGGCCAGCTAGGGACAGGTCATAACCCCTCCCATTAGGGGTGATGTTGCATGGGATCCCTGCAAGAGTTGCCTCCTTCTCAACAGGGCCACCACCATACCGCCAAGAGTTAACATCCTCTCCAGGCTTCATTGTGTCTCCCTCTGGGTGTTAGAGGGCAAATTTGTAGAAATAATAAGGTTCTCAGAGCCAAACACTCGCCTCTGTTTCAAAGGGACTCCCCAGGCCAACCATGATGGGGCCAAATAAAATATGTCCCAGAGCTGAACATGCTCCCTGACTGCCAGGCAGAGTCTCCTCTTCCCAGGGAAAGGAAATCTGTTCAAACTCAAAGGCAATGCTTCACCCTTGTTCCAAGCAGTTCTTTCCGCTACCTTCCTCCTCTCTCTCTCTCTTCTTCATTTTTGAGAAAACGTGCATTTCTCTTCCTTCCTCCCGACTCCTAATCCTGCATTCACAGCTGCAGTCCCAGAGAGCCCAGGCTGAACCGGGTGAGAGAAAACAGGAGCTGCTGCTCTCACTGTGAGAGGGAAGGGCTCATTGCTGGCACAGGGAGGGAGGGATGAGCTGGGAGTGATTTGTTCTGAGTGGCTGCGACTGTCAGAATATCTCCCGTGCTTCTCCAGTACAGAAATGATCACTAAACTCTTCTCAAATTTGCTTTTGGATCTTCCAGCCCAGAGTTATGGCTGCTGACAGCAGAGTTTGGAAACCTGGGACTGCAGAAAACAGTTCTGCTGCCACTGCACCCCCATCATTTCCTGGAGGAGGGGAAGAGGGAGATCCCCATGAGTCCCCGACAGAAGTGGTCGGAGATAAACCCCAACCCAAGAGGCCTGTGCTGCTGCGAGTTTCTGGGGCTTCTGGAAGTGGTTTGCTGGCAACGTGGGCGGTACTGGCACGCCATTCCTAAGATCAGCCACGAGGGCACACACAGATAGCAGGTGAAAACGTCATCTCAGGCTTTACCCTCGAACCACCGAGGAAACGCCTCTGGTCAGCGCCAGAGATAGGCCCACGGAACTTCATGAAAGGCGCACTAATGGAGCATAAACACACCTCCTTCTCCCAGACACTTGGGGCTGTGTTTACAGATTAAATCTCAGGATGTGTATATTTGGTGCTCTGATTCCAGGATATTAATGGCACAGAGAACTTGTCTGGTGATGGCTCAGTCACATTAACGCCTGATGGACGGTTCAGATGTGAAAGGTGCACTGAGACATACGGAGGACTCCAGGACTTGGCATGTGCACATCCCAAGGTTGCAGGGCTGGAATGTGAATTCATTTGCAGTTTAACCCTGCAGGAGACGAGTCATCTTGAATACTGCAGCCCCAGAAGGCAGGGTCTTGCTAAATAGAAGGAAATGTGCAAAGCATCTACCTGGTGAGTCTTGATGTGCCTAATGTAACCCAACAGGGTTTCTAGGAAGCTCTGTAAGTTTAAACGATTATCTCAAGACAAATTCAGAGGTCAACCAGTGGCAAGTTCCTAAAGCCTGGTTAAATCCTCCAGAGGTATCTAGGTCATCTTTTCCTGGAGAAATCTAGAGAGAATTCTCACAGAAGGTGCTGGGTGGTGGAAAGACCATGTCTTACCAAACACTTAACAAACACCTGTAGTACGTCCATCACTCACTGAACTAGAAGACGAATGAGAGGAAGACATTTTTTTCTGGAGGTTGGGTGTGGTCTGCTTGGAAGCAGAAGCAGACTCACAGGCACAAATGTAGAACCCAAAGAACAATTAAACTTTATGTCTAAGGGTATAGCATAAGATAGAGCCAGGCTCGGAAGCAACTGCTAAGATTTATTGACAATCTTCTCTCCTCCATTTCCAGGTGCACTGGCAGCTTCACAATAAGAGGCTCCAGGAACTCGGGAGGAGAACATGGTGACAGCACTGGATATGTTTTAAGCAGCAGCATGAGCTAGTGTGCAGGGCACCAGGGCTGATTAGAAAAGTCCATCTCTTGTTTTACCTTATATCCTTGCTGGGTGCCACATCCATAGCTCTTTATAGAAGAAGGAATCCACTGAGCTGAAGCCAGGACAGCCCTGGGGTGCCCCCGGGACTTCTGCTGTCTAATTTACTACTAAGCACCAAGCAGCTTCCTTTCTTAGTGCTTTGCTGTAGATACTGGAAGTCCCCTCACTCCTGCCAAGGACACACCAGAGTCCCAAATCAACCAAACCAAGTGCCCAAGGCAGGTGGAAAAGAAAGAGTTCTGATGCTCAGAGGGCTTCCATAGCCTTGGAAACTCATGACTGGAGCATAGGGAGATTACTGATGCCATAGACAGGAGTGTCAATTGGTAAAGTCAACAACAGGAGTCACTGTGCACTTACTCCTCATGTAGGATCTCTATCCTTAATGTGCTGTACATTGAGACTTAATGCTATAATGAGTACTCAAAAAGTATATTTCACTTTGTGTTTCTATGGGGGTGCAAACTGTTGAAATCTTTACTTAATGCATACTAAACTGATCTTCTGTAAAAAAAAAAAAAAAAAAAAAAGAAAGAAATTATCAATTCCCAACTTGACTCTCACTGGGATTAAACATGACAATAGGTCTGATCTGATTTTATCATCATTTAAAAAATCATCTGTCATTTTTCACTTTATGTTTCTGTGTGGGAGCAAACTGTTGAAATCTTTACTTAATGTATACTAAGCTGATCTTCTGTATATTAAGATAATCGAAAATGAATCTTGATGTGAATGGAAGGGGAGAGGGAGTGGGAAAGGGGAGGGTTGCGGGTGGGAGGGACGGTATTGGGGGGAAGCCATTGTAATCCATAAGTCGTACTTTGGAAATTTATAGTCATTAAATAAAAGTTAAAAAAAAAAAGAAAGAGTTCTGATGAAGAGGTTGAAGCCTAACAAAATTATTTTTAAAAAGCAGCCTTTGTTTTTCATGAGTGTTGTCTTAAAAATAGTAGAAAGCAGAGCCCATGTGCCTGTGTATACAATTTAAGTGATTTCCAGAGTATTTAACTAAATATAGGACTGCTCAAAGAAGAACTTTTTTACCCCTCAAAGTCAGGGGTATAAAAGCAGGGTCTGTGGCCCCAGGGCTCTGTGGGCATCTGCTGTGTCCTTGATATGCATGCTTACTTCCTGGCCCCAGCCCACACCTACTGAATGAGAATCATCACATGAACATCCAGAAAATAACAACAACAACAAAAAATGTTTCAGCCCTGTTGAAAGCCCATCCCAATGAAAGCAATGCCAGTAAGAGTAGAGACCCCAGTGTTAGGTCCGTTTCCAAGACCATTAATCCGTACCACACTTACGGAATGCCCCTTTGTACCAACTCCAGTGTCAGGTACTAAGGAGAAAGGAGTGGACCGGACTCGGCTCCTGCCCTTGGAAGCACATTTGCTTTTCAGGAGGCTGTGGCTGAGGCACGCTCTATGGCCATCACTTCTGGAGCACAAAGAGTTCTCAGAGAACACAACACAGCATCCCGATCCCTGCTCTTTGTGACTCATACTGAAAACTTCTAGGCTGAATTAAGCCTGAAAAGAAAAGAGAAAGAAAAGAAAAAGAAAAAATGAGAAGTAAATACATCTGACAATAAATTTGAGATCATAAACCTTGGGATTCTTTTTATAATACCATGCACTTCAAAATCAGGCAGTATTTTTCATCCGACATGGATTTAAAGGTAGCTCAAAGAAAACACAGGATTAACTGTAAGTAGAGAGCATGAGCCAAGCTTCCAAATAAACACATCAGAGACTTGCTCTAAAAAAAGACAGAACACAAATAACCTCCTCCTGGTATGCCTACAGTTTCGTTCAACTGTTCCCAGGTCATGAACTAATTTGCCAAAAAGAGGTTAACTCCAGTGCAGCGAGGCAGCATTTCAGGAAACAGGTTTTGTGCATTTGCCTGTGGAGGCTTGGCCACTGGAGGCCCTGCCTGCGAAATGGCTCTCGGATGAGCACTTTCTGAAACCCTTTAGTGTGAGTTAGTGCATGGGCGATGCATGAGGACATTGGAGAATATGGGCCTGAACACACATGGGCTTGGCTTTTACTCAAACGCGGATGTGTCCAAGTCGGAGGATTCGCCTAAATAGATTTGTTTTCAGAGGCTGTGTGACCCTGAGCAGCTGGCTTCCCTTTCCCAGGATAGGTGTCCTCTCTATAAAATGAGGAGTTTATATGGCTTGCTCCCTCAAATCCTCCCTAGCTCACGGAAGCCCTTCCCTAAGGACTCAACACAGGAAGGCTGACCTCTGCCCTCAGAAGCTTCCAGCTGAAGGAGGACAATAAAGTAGCCCAGGTCCCCGGGAGCCCAGCTGAAGGGTGGTTTCCATTCCTTCTAATCGTCCAGAACTCTGGGCAGATGAGCAGCAGCGTTCTATCAGCTGCAGGCAAGGACCTCTGTTCTCTGACCCATTCAGGCGGTTCCTCCTCAGCTTTTGCCCTTCGTCCTTCCCTGCCTCATCTGTCCTAACTCAGTGAGTCTCCTGATTTTAAGGCATGTGGATGGTGCTTCCCTGAGTACTGTTCTGAACACGCAGATCCCCCAGACTCATTTGTGATGATTCTCATTCAATAGGTGTGGGCTGGGGCCAGGAAATAAGCATGCATATCAAGGACACAGCAGATGCCCATAGAGCCCGGGGCCATGGACCCTGCTTTGAGCAACACCGATCTTAGGCTCTGCAGTTGGGACTCGTCTCCTGCTCATACTCAGGCCCCTGGGAGCCAGGGACCCATCTTGCATTGCAATGGAACAGAGCGCACGGTAAGGGACGTGCCAGGCATCCCATCAGAATTTGAAGAGCAAGTGAATCCATGCATGACTGAGGTACACAAAAGGGGGCAGGTCATGACCACCATGGGCTACTCAACATTGACTTCATGGAGAACCTTCCAGGCAGTGCTGGGGAGGCTCACTTCAGTGGGAGAGGCACTAGTAGATGGCTCTGAAGCTGTCTCAGGTGGGCCACCAGAAACAGTAGGACCCTCACAAAGGAATTCCCTTTCTCTAGCAAACACATTTGTCCAGAGGGAGTCCCTGAGCCTTCGCTATATTTTACGCTGCATCCCTCAAAATGTCAAAAGTGGGATTAAAGTGTAAATGATTGTCAATTTACTCTGGTCCTCCCAGTTCTGTGCTGAGCAGCACAGGCTGTTTTGGGGGTTGGAGGGAGGCAGCAGGGAGGGGAGGGATTGGGACTGTGTTTAAATGTAACTGTATAGAGCGTGCAGAGAATGAGGAGTCCTGGTGTGTCTTGGGGGGATAACGTAGTTCACAGGCTGCTACTTTTTTGTGACATAGCTTTTATGGGGGGAGAGCCAGAATATTAAGCTCATTGCTTCCAGATGGGAAGGTTGGACAAGACAGAGAGGCCTTGGCTCCAAAAGCCTGGACGCTGTGGTGCGATATGGATGTGACATATTGAAGTAATCGAGATAGAAGATCCGACTTTAGCCAAAGCTGTCAGATAGATACTTTTTAAAGCATTACATGGTTTGTAACAAGGTATTGTGTATCCTCCCAGAAACCCTGCCGCCTCAGTCTCTGGGAAGGCAGTGGGGGAAAAGTGTGCTTATTTTGCTTGAGTTCCTAAAGCTCCTTTTATATATGAGGAATTTGGCATCTCCTGGCTGGGAGCGGCTGCGCCAACAGTGTCCGATGCACTTGTAATGTAGATCATGCGAGTGACTCGCTAACTAAGTCCAGGTGCTCGCAGGGAAGCAGGGTCCTAAGCACTCCCTTATTTGAGCCCTGGAGCAATCATGGCCCAGCGCCTCAAATGAGCCTCAAATCTGTTTAATAAATCATCCAACTATTTATAGAGTTAATCCGGTCAGAAATCCTCCATGTAGTCAGGTGGGTTCTCTTCCAGCAGAGGGCGCCGATGCCCGCCTCTCTTGGTTAGGGTGGCCCTGGCTTTATTAGGGATTTCAGTTCCCCTCCAAGTTCCTTTGTCCAGACCTTCCCTTCCAGGGCAAGCTCAGGCCTCAGTTGCATTGCATGTTTGCCAGAGCAGAGTGGACTGTGGGGGACTCCTCCAGTTCCCACAGCATGGCTTTCGTTCTGGATCTTTTCACGTTCACTACAGAAAGGGAAAGAAAGCTGGTTGCCTTCGGAAATCCTGGCTTTGCAATGTGCTAGTTTACTGATGATTCTCTTGGTCCAGGAAAGGGTCCCTTCCTGGGCTAACTTCACACCTGAGAACAGGTTGTGGCATCCCTGTGGAGTTTGTGTCTGCTTCGTATTTCAAAGGCTGGGAACTGTTAAGCTTGTATTTTGATTAAAATTTTGTATTAGGTTTTGTCCCCCTCCTTTCAATGTAATTTCAGGGTATTTAATTTCAGCCAATCATCTGCAGGGAAGGGGGGAGGAGGTATTTGATGTGAAACAGCACATAGGGGAAGGCAGCCAAGTTAGGAAACAGAGCAGCTTGGGCTGTGTGGATGTGACAACTGAAATCTCTTTTGTTCTCCCAGGCAGGGTCTGAAACCCAAGCCCCTCAAGGACAGGAGATCCAGCCCTGGGCTTGCAGTCAAGAGGACCCATCCCCCACCCCCCAGGGCACCTTCTGGCCACCTCTGGGGCCTTGGGCAAGCCTCAGAATATTTCCTGGCTTCAGCCACCTGGTTGGCCACCAGAGAGAGGGTTACCTGCCATTTCCCACCATTGCTGGGGACGTGGAAAGACAAACTGCAGAGTCTTTGGAAAAGCCAAACTCAGAGAGGCCCATGGTGGACACAAGCACGTCCTAGCTTCAAAGTGACTCGAACCTCAGGGCATGGAACCTACGGCAAGATGAGGTAAAGAGGGGGCAGGTGTTGTGGCACAGTAAGTTCAGCCGCAGCCTGCAGCCCTGACATCCATATCTGATTGCCAGTTCCCGTCCCAGCTGTTCTGTTTCCCATCCAGCTTCCTGCTAATGCATCTGGGAAAGCAGCAGAAGATAGCCCAAGTGCTTGGGCCCCTGCTACCTACATGGGAGACCCAGATGGAGTTCCAGGCCCTTGGCTTCTGCCTGGCCCAGACCTATCTGTTGTGGCCATCTGGGGAGTGAACCAGTAGGTTTTCCCTCTCTCTCTCTCTCTCTCTCTCTCTCTCTTAATCTGCCTTTAAAATAAATATATTTTTTTAAAAAAAGATGAAGAAAGAAGCATTGGTTAAACAGTGTGCCTGCCCATCTTGGTCTTGCTCTAGAACAGAGGTTATTTGTTCAAACATCTGCTCAGCCAGGCAGGTAACAAGAAGGTAACTATGAGGCATTTCTGGCTCAGAGCAGGTGCTCAACAAATTTTTGTTGTTGAGTTGAATAAGTGAACAAAGTAGGTCTGGTTTAAAAAAATACCTTAGGAAGTGGTAGGGGCCATGTCAAATTCAAACTGAAAAGTACGTACTCTTTGATTTATCAAATTACTGCATTTAAAAACACTAAATATCTTCTGACACTTGAACTATCAATTCATATATCTGTATCCACTTTTATACTTTTATATATTTTAGGCCCATTTAAGAGATTAAAACAGAAGAGAAATAAATTTGGTAGTCTGAGAAGTCCCAAATCTGCCCAGTTCACCCTGATTTTAGTATCTTGTATATGCTCATATATACAGTTCTATTTGCCATTATTCTCATCCACTGTGGGTTAGGTGAATCCAAGTACTTTGAAAGGGACCTGTGGATGGGACAATATCAAATGAGCAACCTCAGCATTGATCCACTGCAGACCTCTGGAGGGGGAACTAGTGATGAACTCCTACATCATCTTACTTGTCCACAA